AAAAAAAAAAAAAAAAAAAAAAAAAAAAAAAAAAGTGAAGGGTGAAATGATTTTAATGATGAAAATAGTTTTAAGTGCAATTACAGCTGTTAAGCTGTCACGTCTCCATCCCACAAATCCTTAAACACACGCAGAACTTGCACCTAATTAATGGAAATAAGTAGGTCAAGGTGCTGGTTTGTGCCTGGAGAACGTGACATCATCAGTCATTAAAGGAGAGATAAGTAGCAGGGTGTGAATTGGGATCATTATGTGTGCAGCATTTCCATAAAAGTTGAAGAAACTTGGCTTGCCACAATATTTGGAACAGCAGTGATGGGGAGCATTAATGGCCCGATCCCGCCAATCGATCCGGTGCTTTCCACGTGGAAATTCCCCTTGGTTGTTGCTCGGTGGGTTATTTTAAAGCTAATCCAGTGGAATCACCTGGGCAGGCAGGTCATGGGATCACAGAACGGTTCGGGTTGGAAGGGATTTTAAAGGATCAACCCCTCTGCAGCGAGCAGGGACCTCAACTGGATCAGGGTGAGGGAATTGAAAAGGAGAGAAGCCACTGCTCAGTCAGGTGCCACCTGGTCCCCTGGTGTTGCATTGTATGTTAATTTATGGTAATTATAATTATCCTCAGGCCACTGCTAGACAGGAGACAAGAGACCAGATCCACTAATTCCTCTGTACACTGGGAACTTTTCTGGGACCAGGGGAGGAGGATGTGGTCCTGGCTGATAGCTAGTCCCTGGACACTGACTCCCTGTGCCAAGGGAAGGGTAAAAGCAGGGGCCAGTCTGGAGTAAATTCCCCCAAACTTTAGACAGTTATGATTTGGGGCTTCTTGAAGCAGAGATGGGATTTTTGTGTTCTGCAGCTCTTGACGGATTTTACCATCCTGTTACAAAAATCCTGTGTGGGTGGAGGTCAAATCCTGCTCCCCTCATTGAGAGTTGATTCCTTTGGGTCTGGTTGCATGCCCAGGTGGTACTTGAGAGTAAAATCACAGGTCCCCAAAAAATCATCTACTCCAACCTTTCATGGGAAAGGGAGCCTACATTAAATTATTTAGGTTGGGACAGGGCAGGGACATTCCTGCTCTTTTTGGTGCTACTTTCTCCCATCCCCTTCAGTGCAGATCCTTTCAATTTTCGCTGCTTTCTCGCAGGTCTGGAGCTGTCTCACTGTGTCGGGACCAACTCTCTTGGCCCTGTGGGGCCTTGGAGGTCGGGGGGGCCCTGCAAGATGAAGAGGGTCCGCACTGTCTTCAAACCAGAGCAGCTGGAGAGGCTGGAGCAGGAATTCCTCAAGCAGCAGTACATGGTGGGCACAGAGCGAGTGGACCTGGCTGCGACTCTGCACCTCACGGAGACGCAGGTGAGGAACGGGTGGCACCAGTCCTGGGTCTGCTCTGTGCTGGTTTTCCTGTTGGGAAGTGCAGCTTGGGGAAAACACAATGCAAAGTGACCCGTGGGACTGCCTGCTGCAAGCTGGCATGGAAGGGATGTGCCTGGAGGGATGGGTTTGGACGGTTTATGGATGAGATTTCTTAATTCATGAAGTGGAACAGAGCATTTGGGAGCACAAACCTGCGTTGCTTTAGAGTTGGAGATGGGTTGGATTATGTGGATCTGTGTTGTTTTGCTCCTCTGGAGACAGTTTGTGCTTTGAGTGTCCTTTTATTTATTATTATTATTATTTTCCTGCTTTTCCCAAGAAGTTCCTGCCCTTCCCAAAGCAAGCTGTTTGTTAGTAGTGGAAAGAAAGAGGCAGGGGATCTTCTGTGGTGGGGTTTAAATTCAGCTGGGGAAAAGGGAGAGCAAAGCAAGGGCAATTCTAGGGGGACAGGGGATGCTTTGGGGTCCCATCATGCCTTCTGACAGCTGCAGTCCCAAGAATGGGTTCAGTGGCTCCTTAGGGAGCTGCTTCCTTCACTCTTCTGGCCAGAATTTCCTCAGTGCAGCTGCATCCCCATCTCTCCTGATCCTTTTCCCAGCACTGCTCTGCCCTCCACAGTGTCACCTCCTCCTGTTCTCACTCACTATTCCCTGAGCAGAGAAGGGGCACGTCCCCACTTTGAAGGAACTCTTTTTGGGGACATCTTGCTTGGAAACACGTGGCATTGGAAATGTGCTCCTGGAGACCTCGGACTAAGCTGTTCCATGTCCCTGCCAGGTGAAAGTCTGGTTCCAGAACCGGAGGATCAAGTGGAGGAAGCAGAGCATGGAGCAGAAGGCGGCAAAGCTGTCCCAGTTTGGGGTGATCCAGCCCGTGAGCGCCGACTCCACGGACAGCAAGGACCACGAGGAGGACACCGTGGACGTGGAGCTTTGAGCAGCTGAGGCTGAGCTGCCACTGTTGGGTTTTGATGTTGGGTTTCTGTGCTGCTTTGGCCCAAGAGAGACTGAGAGCTGGAGCTACAGGACTAAGATGCAGCTGTTGGGGAGGAACCCCCCCAGATTTATTTGGCTGCTCTTTGGTAGCCATTTGCAGTAATTCCTGGGGCTGCTTCACCAGGCTGGCTGTGCTTGATGGCAGGTGATCTCCTGTTTGTTCTTGGAGCACTAGGACACAGTTTAAAGCAGAGAGTGACAATCAGAGGGTGTCTCTGATGGTTGGGTGACAACTGGTGTCTCTGGTGTTGGGGTGACAATCCTCCCTGATGGCTTTTCCTGGTTAACTTGACTCCCTTGTTTGATGCTTAGATCATAACCAAAAACGGCCCCAAATCGGAAAGCCCTTTGCTCCCACCCACAATGCTCATGCCATAAGATGATCAGGGTCTTTCCAGGGTCTTTCTACCCCTGGAGCAGAAGTGCCTCCTCTTATCAGTGCCTTGGTGTACCTGTGCCTTTTTTTTTTTGGCTTCCCAAACCGGGAGGGAGAACCTGGTGGTCTCTCCATGTCCTGGCACTGCCTTCCTCGGCCAAGGTGTCCGTGTGCTGCTGCAGCAGGGAATGAGCCACTGAAGCCCTGGCCAAGGTGTGGGGATGGAGGCTGCTGTAAAAAGCAGCTTTCCAACACCTCTGGTGCCTCAGACGACCCCCTGCCCCTCGTCCAGATGTGCTGATTCTGCCCAGACGGCAACTGCTCTGTTCTCTCCTCATTATCCACCCAGGTGCCATGGGAAACGGCACCTGGAGCGTTGGGTGAGCACATCTGTAAGGGCCCGATGTAGTTAACAGCTGCATTTCTGGTGGCTGGGAGGGCTTGGAGGGGTCAGGACTGATGTCTGCCCAGGGTACCAACCACGTCCAGTTAGCTCAGGATAATTTATTCCTTCTCTTTCTGTCCCTGAACACTGTATATCACTTTACTCTTCTATTGTTATTTATAAAACCCTTTGTTTTTTCCCCTTTCCTTAATAAGTGCCGTTTATTTATTTGCTTTTTTTCTTAATAAAAATCGAGCGTGTTTTAAAAAGAGAGATGGAAGGGGTGTCAAAAAACACATCTCCAACTACTTACTTTAATTTTCAATTGAAATTATTACCAAAAAAGTTAAACCCGATGTATTTTCATCCTTCTCAGAAATGTTTGAGGGTTTTTTTCCTTAATAAACTGTTTTGAACAAAACACATGGTAAAGAATTTTTTCTTTAATTGGGTGATGACCCCATATTATGGGTGAAGGTAATTAACTAAGTTATCATCTCTGGGCTAGTTCCTGCAGAGAGAAAACTACATTTTCAGTAAGAAAGGTAGTGTTTGGTGAGCTTGGGATGCTCAGGTTGGAGCTGTGGCTCCTGGAGAACAAGGACCCGTGTCTGCAGATGGATGTGGCCAAACCTTCCCCGCAGCTCCTGCTCCGCTGAGGGGCTGGAGAATGTTCAGAGAAGGGCTGTGGAGCTGGAAAAAGGGTCTGGAGAACAAGAAGCAGCTGAAGGAGATGGAGGAGCTCAGCCTGGAGAAAAGGAGGCTCAGGAGGGACCTTCTTACTCTACAATTCCCTGTCAGGAGGGTGGAGCCAGATGGGGGTTGGGAACAGGGGACAGGACAAGAGTAATCACAGAATTATTCAGGTTGGAAAAGACCTCCAAGGTCATCGAGTCCTTGACTGATCCTTGTCAACTAGATCAGACCACTGAGTGACACATTCCTTGAACACTTCCATGACGGTGACTCGACCACATCCCTGGGCAGCCCCTTCCAATGCCTGACAATCCTTTCCAGGAATAAATCACTGAGGAAACAGTCTCAGATTGTGCTAGGGAAGGTTTAGATTGGATATTGAGGAAAATTCCTTCACGGAAAGGGTTGTCCAGCCCTGGCACAGCTGCCCAGGGCAGGTGTAGACTCCCCATCCCTGGAGGGATCTGAAATCCCTGTGGATGTGGCACTTGGGGACATGGGTCAGTGGTGGCCTTGGCAGTGCTGGGGGAACGATAATGGATTCGATAATCTTAGAAGGCTTTTCCCACATAAATATTCTCTGATTCTATGAAAATATAATCATAGCAGGAATCACAGCAGCACTGATCCACCTGTGGCTCGGTTCTTATAGCCCGAGCACTGTGAGATGGAGCTGTGGCTGGCACAGCCCACCGCTGGCTTCACTGGGGACCGGATCCCACACCACAGCCAGGAAAGGTGTCCCTGGCAGCCGGATTGTCCCTGTTTGTCCCTTGTCACCCGTCCGGGTGGCCGGAGCGGTGTCATGGGGACAGCGGGACAGCGTCCAGCCCAGCTGCTGCCGTGCTGGGCAGGGAGGTGGCAGCTCCAGCCTTGCCACCCGCTGTCGTGTCCCGGCCACGAGCCGACAGTGACATCTAGTGACACGAAAACACTCCAAAAGGCCCCGAGCGCGGAATCATCCCAAATTCCCCGCCCGGTTCCCGCCAACTGGTCCTTGAGGAGCGGGGCGAAGCCCGAGCGGCGTGAATTAGTAAATACAACCAAACCCGCCTTTTTGTGGATTTTAGGCTTTGCAGACCGCCAAGCAGGAGGCAGCAGGGGGAGAATGGCGACTTTAGTGTGTTTTTAAGGGTTTTTTTTTAGGGAAAATCGTGCCGATTTTGGGTGCGCAGGGCAGTGGGTGATTCCTCCTCTCTCTATGAGGAGGCACCTCCTTCTCTGAGCGGGGACCTTGTGTTCCTGCCTGATAGGGCTGTGATGGCTATTCCTCTGCTATTAAATAATAATAATAATTAATAGAGGCGGCATTAAAGGGTTTTTTTTTGGGGGGAAAGTCTGGTCAGTTTTGGGTGCGCAGAGCAGCGGGAGATTCCTTTTTCTCCCTGTGAGGGGGCACCTCCTCCTGTGAGGGGGCACCTTGCGTTCCCACCTGAGAGAGCTACGACGGCTATTCCTCTACCACTAAATATTAATAATTAATAAAGGAGAGGCAGCAAAACTCTTTTACGATTTGGGGTGAATGTGGAAGCGCCCCGGCGCCGTTTCGGAGTGTTTTGGCGGTGTTTTTGGAGCGTGGCTGTGGGCTGAGGGAAGGGGAGGGGGGGACTAACATGGCCGCCGGCCCCCGCCCGCCCCGGGGCTGAGGGGAGCGATGGCGGGAGCGGACCCCTGAAGGGCGGAGGAGGAGAAGAAGGAGGAGGAAGAGGAGGAGGAGGAAGAAGAGGAGGAAGAGGAAGAGGCGCTGCCCGGCGGGTCAGGGCGGGGAAGTCGCCGCCCGAAGATGGCGGCCGCGGCGGGGGGACACGCCGGGGCTGCGGCGGAGGCGCGGTTCATCAGCAGCGCCAAGGTGAGTCTCCCCTCCGTGGGGATCCTTCCCTTCCTTCCCAATTTTAGGGGGGCAAAGGGGGTAGAAGCCCACAGGGTCCGCTCGGGATGGCGGGGTACCCTCAGCCCGCGGGTATGACTCGGCTCCGGGCGCGTCCCTTGACCCACGGCTGTGCCTCGGCAGGGAAAGGGCTTGTTCGCCACCAAGAACATCCGCAAAGGGGAAACAGTGTTCGTGGAGAGGCCGGTGGTGTCTTCCCAGTTCCTCTGGAATGCCCTGTACAACTACCGAGGTGAGCGGCTGGTACTGGTGCCATGTCCCTGTCACTTATTCCCAGTGGGATCCCAGCGGGATCCCAAAGGAGCTGCCCGGTATCAGGGGAAAGGTTTGGGTTTGCCTTTACAACGCTATTAAGGTGCCCCTGCTGCTTTTTCTGACTCTGGGCTGAACTGTTGGGAAGTTGAGGTGTCGTTTGAGGGATGAGGTGACTTCCATCAGCTCCAGAGGGATGCACCAGGTGCCACCGTGGAATCCCAGAATGGTTTGGGTTGGAAGGGACCTTAAGGATCCGCTCATTCCACCACCCTGCCGTGGGCAGGGACACCTTCTGCTAGCCCAGGTTGCCCCAGGCTCCCATCCCCTTGTTCGTCTCTGATGGTGGCACCAGTGGCATTATCCTTCCCAAAGGCTTCCCTGTGCCATCCATCCATCCTTCTTCTCTCCCCCAGCCTGTGATCACTGCCTGCGGGCTCTGGAGACGGCGGAGGAGAACGCCCAGCGCCTGCTGGGGAAGAGCTCGCTGGTGCTGCCTCACCCGGAGCAGTGCAGCATCCGGAAAGACCTGCACCAGCAGTGCCCCCGATGCCAGGTACGGCACTGCCGGGAGGGAATGCCATCTTTCTGGGATCACCCAGTGCTTTACACCCAGCCAGGCGCCTGTGCTGCCCAGGTTGGGTGTCTGCCTTTCCGCTGGTCAGGGAGGGGGCACAGCAGGCACAGCTGGATGTAGGATCCCGTTTTCCTGCTGCCGGAGCCAATGCCAGGCGCTGTCCCCCCGCTCTAGGTGACGTACTGCAGTGCAGAGTGCAGGCAGGCAGCCCTGGAGCAGTACCACCAGGTCCTCTGCCTCGGCCCGTCCCGGGACGACCCCACACACCCTCTCAACAAGCTGCAGGAAGCATGGAGGTAGGGCACCCACCTGCCTGTTGCTCCACGGGCAAAGGAGCGGGGTTCTCCTCACTTTGCATCCCTGCATGGGGTGGCTGGAGGGTGGGAATGCCCGTGGGACGGTGCCTGGCTCTCCCTACTGGTCGGGTGAGTTGGTGTGGGCAGTGCATGCATCTGAGTAGTGCTTGGTTTTCTCCCTGTAAAATGCTACAGAGCTCACTCCTGCAGTTTTATAGCGCTCCTGCAGATCTCCAGCCTCTGGGGATCCTCCTTGCAGGTCGATAAATTGCTGTCCCTGCTTGCAAAAAAAAGAAAAAAAGAAATGGTCCCAGAGGAGAAAAGCGACATCCCTGACCTAAATCTTGTCCCAAACCCCAGCTGGACCAGTGGGACCCAGGGCGAACAGGATGGAAGGGGATTGTTTGTCTGGTTGGAGCAGGAAGGTGGATGAAGGTTTCTCTGCTGGATCCCCACACAGTGATGCTGCAA